GTGTTTTCAGGCAGGCCGTCTATGATTCCTGGAGGTGGGCATTGCCTGGGAGGGGAGAAGAGCAAGACTCTAGAAAAACAAGTGAATAGAGGACCTTCAGGCACTGGCATGCCCCAGGGAACATTCTTGAGGGTTTTTATTAGCCAGGTGAAAGGGAAGCACACTTAAGATTTTAGCAGTTCTTTCCTGCTGGGCAAAGGTGACCTCCTCATTAGGGGAACCTTGGGACAGTCTCTAGCATGGGAAATCCTGGAGAAGGGTGCTTTAGGGGAAGGGGTTCTTACCAATGGCCTCCAAGCCTGCTAATATCTAGCTACCTATCATTTTCCCCTCAAGAGTCAAGACCATAAAATCATTTAAGTTATTGTAATGAACAGTGGATCACCCTGTCCCCTTCCGGCTAAAAATGGAACATAGATGTGTTTAATCTCCATCCTTGCTGTCAAGCATTGCAGGCCAACCAAGAGATCCAGACAGATGAGATAGTTGTCACAGGACTGCATGAGTGTGGATGGGCAGTTCTGAGGGACTGAGACATGGTACCTGTTTAATCCTAGTCTGACCAGGGGGACTGCAAGTGGTGGGTTTCTTGCTGAGAAACGACAACTGGTTCCTAAGCCTGTGTTTTTAGAGGCAGGCACTGGCTGGGCAGCAAGTGTTTACTTCCACCCAGCTTGGGCAAGAAGATGGAAACTGAGAAGGTCTCCAAAGAAAGAAAAACTGGTGTTCCCCTGAGAAGCTGGGACTGATCACAGCAGGGAGAGAGCCAGGAAAGAAAGCAGGCTGATACTTCACACCGGGAAGAGCTGGAGCAGAGGGTGGTGTTTGTTTTGGTGGAGGTGTCATTTTGTTTTGTTTTCGTTTATAACAAGATTGACAGAGAGGGAAGGCAGTTTTCAAGGCAGAAAAAGCTGCAATATAGGAGCTGTGTCCATTGCTGTCCTACTGTGTGGAGTTATCCACATGTGTAGAGTTTGAACCCACTAAGAAATTTTGACAAATTAATCAGATCCAGTTGAATCCTCTAACTCACTTCCAGGTATGTGAAAAATGTCACAAAGGAGAATAAGTAACCTCAGATTAAAGGCAGTAGGTTCTGATCCAAGCACAGGAGACATTCTGACCCAGTCCTGGGATTTTCCGAAAAGTTCATTGACTTCCAGAAGGCCTGGCAATGGTTAGGTCACACACCTTTAATCCCAGCACTCAGGAGGTGGAGGCAGGAAGATCTCTGAGTTGGAGGCCAACCTGGTCTATAGAGTGAGTTCCAAGACAGTCAGGGCTACCCAGAAAAACCCGTCTCTACAAAAAAGCAAACAATAAAAAGTCACTAATGCTCAGAGAGGACAGACAGCGGCATGGCGAGGGCTCTGAGGAGAGTTCAGGCCCGATGGTACATTTTACCCTGGAGAAACCCTACTCTCACGCAGGTATATTAGCTTCTGAATATTTGCCAATGCTAACTTTTAGTTTGTTTTGTTCTGAGTTTGGGGGACAAGGTCACATTGTATAAACTAGGCTGGCCTTGAGCTTCTGTCTCAGCCTCCCAGGTACTGGAGTTACACCCAACTTTGGAGTGCTACTTTTAGAAAAAAAAAAAAATATATATATATATATATAGTATATTTATTGTGTGTGCACATGTGTACACGTGTACGTTCCTGGGTGTATGTATGTGCACCACATGTGTTCAGGAGACCACAGAGATCAGAAGAGGGTCTCAGATCCCTTGGAACTGGAATTATAGGAAACTGAGAGCTATCATGTGGGTGCTGGGAACCAAGCCTGCATCCTCTAGAAGAGGAGCCAGTGTTCTTAATGCTGAGCCATCTCTCCAACCTCCCAAAATGGTACTTTCTTTTTTGTTTTTAGTTTTATGTGCATTGGTGTTCTGTCTGCATGTGTGTCTGTGAGGGCATCAGTTCTTGGAGTTACAGTTGTGATCTGCCATGTGGGTGCTGGGATTTGAACTCAGGTTAGGGGAGATTGAGAAGAAAAGGAATTAGCAGAAACACAGATTAATTTACTATTTGGAAGGACTGACTCTGAGTCCTATGACAAACTAGATTGCTGCAGTAGGGCTGTAGAGCCCAGGAGGCTCTCTGGCTTGTCTGTGTGCCCCTTAGTGGGGGAAATGAATGGGAGTGATCGAGGAGTCAGATTTTAAATGAAGGTTTAGGTCACTCTACTTGTAAACTTAAGGACATGGATAGCCCTTTAATGTCCTGAGACCCCCAGAGTGTGCAAGATAGTAGTAAAGTGGTACAGGATACATTGTTGCATTAGGGTGTAACTCCTGTCAGATTACAATGTAATGGCTGCTGGGAACTCTGCATGTTCTGTCTTGTTTTGTGTTTATATATTGCCACGGACAGGCTCAGGGGAGCCACTCAGACTGTGGGAGAATCAGGACGAAGGCTCAGAAGAATTCAGGAATCAGCAAGGAAATGACAGACAGACACATTCAATGTGGTTGAATATGCTGCTGCAACTTCAATCAGTGTAAGGTTTATATTCTTTTACAATCAAAGAACTTGGCAAAGGCATCCATCATCAGATCATAAAATAGAAACAGCATAAAACAGTTTACAAAGAGAATCTTTAAAAATGCTTTGACTTGGGTACAAGGACTTTTTGCTCCATGCTTTGACTTGGGTACAAGGACTTTTGCTCAGTCTGTACCAGGTGGCTGGCTGGGCTACGTGACCTTGTGCTCAGAATATCTTGGGTGGGAGAGGGGAAGGCCACTATCTTCCTGGGAAAACTTTCTGCTAGGAAATTTCATGATCTCAAACTTCTCTGAAACTCATCTTACACCATTAATCTCAACTCTCCTCCCTCCCCGACTCTCAGGCTCAGATGTTGTAATCAGCGTATGTTTTTTCTGGCCATAAGGAAGGCTTCATAGGCCTCCTGTTTGCAACTGCACGTATCTCCCCAGGCAGATGCCTAGTGGGGACTGCTGCAATTGTTTTTCTGCAGAAGGCTTCTAAGGTTTCTCCTAGTAAGATTAACTCTTTTTGCTCCACATCATTAAGGAATTATCCTAATGATGACCCCCAATTCCCAGAACTGGCTACTTCTTTAAAGGCTTTAATGAATGGTGGGGCAGAGCTCAAAATGTCCTCAGCAGTCTTGTTTGTATCAGCAACTTTCTGAAATAGTCTGATCTGTTGGCAAGATGCAAGAATCACACAGAACAGAAAGACAAGGAAAAGATAGACATATCGGCGCCAAGGGCAGCGAGGTCGAGTCAGTACAGGTGGCGACTCAGGTGGCATCTTAATCACAGCTGATTGCCAAGGGACAGCCTGGGAAACAACTCCGTGGAGCGCTAGCCCCAATCCTACGGCAACAGTCTGTCCAGTCAGCATTTCTGCTACACTGGCGTGACAGCCGTGGGTGTAGCAATATATTACCTATATTTTTTAATTTTTAAAAAATACTTTATGTACATATTTTTAGAAGCTAGTTTTAGAACTGTGGGGAGGGTTTTTTTTTTAAGTTTTGGGTTTTTTGAGATAGGGTTTCTCTATGTTGTCCTGACACTCGCTATATAGACCAGGCTGGTCTTTAACTCACAGAGATCCTCATGCCTCTGCCTCCTGAATGCTGGGACTAAAGGTGTGCACCACATGCCAGCCATAACTTACTCTTCAGATAAAAGACTATCGTGTAGTGTGACTAAACTTGAAAAGTAGTTACTATAGTCTGGACAGTTAGTATTTATAGCCAGCTCTTAGGATCGTGCATCTTCTCATTTGCATAGCTGCAGTGTTGTCCTAAGGAGCTGCCATGTGGATTGCTTTTATTAGACGTGGCTGTTCTGAGGCCTGGTTAATATGATTTAATATGCTCTTATCCTCTTGTTGGTTATGACGGATGGCCTATAGGTACTGAGTAGCCAGAGGGAAAGCTGACAATTACAGTTTATTGCCTGTGGATTGAAAATTTAGCCTCTAATCCTTGGTATGAAATGTGATTGGCCTCTTAACAGTGAGTGCGATGTTAAGCTTCGTCAGCAGAGGGTGCAAGAGGGACCCTGATGGAAGGGAGCATCTCTTCTTGGGTCCGACTGCTGCATTTTGCTTTTCTTGCTCTATGACCATTAGGACCATTAGTAGACGTGTATGTGGGACACTCAGTGCTGCCCAGTGCCAGCAGTGCCCCAGGGCATGCAGTCTTTTCCTTATGCAAGCACAGTGGGCTCCTGTGTGGGGGAGCTGGGCAGAGAGAGGTACTTGCTGCACAGACATGGTCTATACTGACTGAAGTCTGCCTGACTTCTACTTCCAATCCCAGCTGTGTAGAAAGCCTTTGTAGCTCCTGGTGTGTTTTTGAGTTCCAGCATCAAGGACCACAGCTCCCATTCCTCACTCCTCGAGCCTCCCCACTCGGTTCTCTCGAGTCGGGAATGCTGTTCCGCTCAGGCTAGCTCTAGGTTTGAGGGTGGTGGGAGTGCTAGAACCCTTCAGATTCCCACTTCCCTATTCTGCTGATGCCACAGGATGAAGGACAGCAGTGCATCTACTGTTTACAGCCAAACTTGGGCTTACTGTAAGATGCTGGGACTGAAGACAGTAAAGGTTCTCCCTCATCCAAGTACTAACCAGGCAGGCCCAGCCGTGCCTACTGAGATGGCTGAGATTTGACTAGTTAACAATGGAGGCTCCAGTTTTCTCTGTGTAGCTCTGGCTGTCCTGAAACTCACTCTGTAAAACAGGCTGCCCTCAGACTCAGAGATCCACCTGCCTCTGCCTCCCAGGTGCTGGAATTAAAGGCATGCGCCACCACTGCCTGGTGCTTTTTCTTAAGAAAAAACAAACCTGGGGTGGAGTCCAATCTGGATCCTGAGGTCACCTTTTTACTAAGTAAGGATTGGAGAAGGTGGTGAGGTGTGGGCATCTGTGGTCCTGTTGAGTGCTGGAGGTGGGGTGGTGCAGGCGTGTGTTCTGTCTGTGCAGTTTTTTAACCGTTGCACACCTTTTTCTTTCTCTAAGAAGCCAGAAGAGAAGGAAAGAAGAGGTTTGCATCTAAAGACATGACCAAGGTAAGCCTCAATTGCCACTTTTGTCATGAAAACTCCTTGGTCTCTAAATGGTACTGTAGTTCAGAGGTCTTCTCTAGAGTCCCCAGTACTGTGGAGAAGAGGAAACCGTGTTTGTGGAGTTTCCCCAAGCAGCCTAGGCATCTGCTTTGTCCAAACTGTTACCTAGAATTTCTGTTCCCCAGGCTTTAATCAGTATGGAACAAGATCTTGTCAGCGAACCTGGTCATTTGCGGGGAATTTGGAATTATTTCAGCCTAATCTCTGTTGTCCCTGCTAGAGTCACCGTAGTGACCTTCTTGCTTAGAAATTATAACAGCAGTGGGGTCTGCCTGGCCTCTTCTGTTCATTTTTCCCCAGAAGACACTCAGCTATTAGCGTTTTCAGATTATTTTGTCTGTGCATAGGATTGGCCCTGTGTTTCTGTTTTCAGTGCAGGATGGCATTGACAGTAACAACTGGCTCAGGATCTTACTCTGAGTCACTGTAGTTTGAGTTCTTCCCAGATGTCACCTTGTTTAGTCCTCGTCATAGCCCTGTGCGACAGCTGAGACTGTGTCATTAGTTGTGTTGGGTAGTCTTTTTAAACGGGTAGCCTTATTCCTTCTTTGACAGTTTCACACCTGCAAAGTACACTGATCACACACATCCCCAACTTTCCCCTCATACTTCTTCCTGATATCCCTGTGTCCCCCTGCTTGTTCATGCCTTCATGTCATCGTCTTCTTCTTCCTCTCTTCTCTCTCCTCCTCCTCCTTTCTAATTAATTTTTTTAATATTTATTTATTTATTCACTATGGATACAATATTCTGTGTGTATGTCTGCAGGCCAGAAGAGGGCACCAGACCTCATTACAGATGGTTGTGAGCCACCATGTGGTTGCCAGGAATTGAATTCAGGACCTTTGGAAGAGCAGGCAGTGCTCTTAACCTCTGAGCCATCTCTCCAGCCCCCCTCCTTTCTAATTATTGCTGCCTGTTGAAATGCTACCAATCTGCAGTGACCATGTCACGGCACTCCTCCCCGTCCTTAAGATCACATTTGTATGGTACATTGCATTCTTTTATATTTTTTAAGATTTATTTTTATTTTATGTGTGTGGGCATTTTGCCTGTATGTATGTCTTTGCACTACATGTGTGCCTGACATACTTGGAAGCTGGAAGAGGGTGATGGATCCCCAGAAACTGGAACTACAGGTGATAATGGACCGCCATGTGGGTGCTGGGAATTGAATCTGTGTCTTCTGGAAGAGCAGCCAATGATCTTAACTGCTGAGCCATCTCTCCAGCCCCTCTTTCTTTTTTGATGTTGTTCGTTTGACAATTTCATACTGGTATAGAATGTACTCTGATAACTCTCTCCCAACCCTCTCATATCTTCTCCCATGCCAGACAACACCCCCATCTCTACATGTCCCTTTCCCAGATTCATGACCTTTGGTTTTGTTGTATGATCTGTAGCGTTTACCCAGGTTTCTCTGTGCAACCCATGGATTGGTTTGTTTGCTGTGAGACAAGGTTTTACTGTGTAGCCTTGGCTGGCCTGGAACTTACTTTGCAGACCAGGATGGCCCAAACTCAGAAAGATCCTCCTGCCTTTGCTTCCCCAATGCTAGAACTAAACGTGTGCACCACCACACCAAGCTGTGACTTGGCACTTCCCACGGGTGCCCGTTGGGTATCAGTGGGTACACAGCTGACAACAATGAGCCCCTTTTCCTGTGTCATTGTTTTTAACATAGGACTCTAAAACTTTTCTCAGACATGCCGCTATCTCGGGAGTCTGGCTTCTCTTCTCCAGGAGTTGGGGTCGGATGCCTGTTGTGGTAGCTTTATTGTCTCCTAATCGTGTGTCTCTGTTGTAGTTTGCACATCTGTGGTGATGGATGTGTCTTTCTTTTATTTTTTTAACTCTTTCCAGGGCAAGTTTTTTGGGGTTTTGTTTTGTTTTGTTTTTTATGTGAGGTCTTCTAAAAACACTTGAGTATTACACTGTGGAAGACTGCATTACACTTGAGTATTACACAGTGGAAGACTGCATTACACTTTAGTATTACACAGTGGAAGACTGTATTACACTTGAGTATTACACTGTGGAAGACTGCATTACACTTGAGTATTACACAGTGGAAGACTGCATTACACTTTAGTATTACACAGTGGAAGACTGTATTACACTTGAGTATTACACTGTGGAAGACTGCATTACACTTGAGTATTACACTGTGGAAGACTGCATTACACTTGAGTATTACACAGTGGAAGACTGCATTACACTTGAGTATTACACTGTGGAAGACTGTATTACACTTGAGTATTACACTGTGGAAGACTGTATTACACTGTAGCATAGGCTTACAGTTAGGTTTAGAAAAATAACCAGTTAGAAAAAAGTTAAAATATTAAAAATGTTTGACAGAGCAGACACACACAGACACGCGTCTGCAGAGGAGGAGTAGAGGCAGTGACGAGAAGTGACTGTCTGTGTACCTGCATGTACAGTTCCATTCAGTTGAGAAACACCACTTACATGGGCTTTATTTGAAGTGCCAAGGAACAGGCATGCTCAGACCGCATGTGTACACCTTTATCCCCACACTGGCCTGTGCATATGAAAGCGTCTAGCCAAGGTTCTCCAGGGAATTGTCATGTCTGCTGTCCTTTCTGTTGAAGTTTTTATCTCGATTTCACAAATGGCATATTTGTGTGATTTCAGGGCTTGAACTTTAAAGACGTGGTCATTTACTTCTCTCGAGAGGAATGGAAGTGCTTGCACCCTTCCCACAGAAATTTGTACCAGGATATAATGTTGGAGACTTACAACAACCTGATTTTACTAGGTAAGTTCATTCACCCACCAAAATTCAGAATTGCCCTTCAGAATTTTCAAGTTCTTTATGATGAGTGTTGATTTTTTTTTTTAATTTTATTTTGTGTATGGGTGTTTTGCCTGCAGGTATGTCTATGCGTGCCTGGTACCCGCAGTAACCACAGGAGACACTGAATCCCCTAGAATTTGAGTTACAATTGGTTGTGAGCCACCATGTGGGTGCTGAGAACTGAACTCCAGTCCTCTGGAAGAGCAGCCAGTGCTCTTTAACTGCTGAGCCATCTCTCCAGCCCCTGTTGATTTCTTTGAGACAAAGTCTCCTATGCAGCCCAGAATGGTCTGAAATTCATGACAATCCTCCTGCCTTAGCATTACAGGTGCTGAGGGTGTAGACCTGCATCAAAAACTTTTGTTGAATTTTTCATGAACATTTTTCAAGTACTGAGCTAAACTAATGATGTTTCTTACATGTACACACACATACACGCACATAGAGAGGAAGGGAGACGTCTTCTCTTCCCCAGCCCTCCAGTATTCACTCACTTTGATTCCTAACTTATTTTTTCCTTATTATTATTATTGTTGGGGTGGGAAAAGGCATGCAAATAGGGGTCAGAGGGCAACTCTCTGGAATCAGTTCTCTCCGTCTGTCTCTACATGGGTTCTGAGGATTGAATTTAAGTTGCCAGACTTGTATGGCAAGTACCTTTACTCATTTTTAATACAACTTATTTTGGTTGCTTTTCCCTCTCCCCCAAATCTGCCCAGATCTTTTCCACTTCCCCACCTACCTAAATCCACACCCTTCTTTCTCTCATTAGAAAACAAACCAGGATAAACAAACCTAAATAAACAGGAAATTAAAGAAACCGCAAAAACACAAGGAGCACATGCAGAGACGAAGATGCACACAGAGACAACCATAACCATAATATACAAGTAAAAGATCTGTAAGGTTAAAAAAAAGAAAGGAAAACAAAACCCCAAACCCAGCATTTTGAGACAGGAGCTTCCAACAGTCCCATCAAGTTCATGTTCCAGCTACTGCTGAGCCTGGTTCTGCCCTAAGGGGTGGAGCCTATCCCCAGGGAGAACCCTCTGGAGAAAACTTCATTTCTCCCTTGCTGGTGGTTGACAGTTGGAGGTAGTAGCTTCTGGGTAGGAGGGAGGCCTCTGTCCACTTCCCCTCTCAGGTCTGAGACACTGTTTTTCTCTCTTGACAGTCATGGACTTATTTTACTTTAGTCTCACTGTGTGGCCCTGGCTGACCTTGAACCCACCGTCTTCTTTCCTCTGCCCCCTGAACTGACATGGATGCTGACATGCACAACATAAGCTTCCTTTTTTGTCTCTGGGCAGGTATTGCTGACACTAAGCCGAGTGTGATCTCCCTTTTAGAGCAGGGGAAAGAGGCCTGGATGGTGATGAGGAATGAGATGAAAGAATGGCATCCCGGTGAGTGCTGGTCCTGGACCTGGGGAGGCCCGGCAGGTTGTCACCCAGGCAACCTATGAGAAGGCAGCACTCTAGATGCTGCTGGGAAAGCTCCCTGGCAACCAAAGCCCAAGGGCTGGGGAGAAAGGATGTTCTAGTGCTGCGGTGCTCAGCCTTCCTAGCGCTGCAACCCTAATAAATACAGTTCCTCATGTTGTGGGGATCCCAACCATGCAATTATTTTTTCATCACTCATTCATAGCTGTAATTTTGCTCTGTTAAGACTTGTAAATAGTTTTGGAAATAGAGGTTTGCCATAGGTTGAGAACCACTGTTAGCATAAGGCTTTGGATTTTTTTGATTTTTGGTTTTGGTTTTTGTTTCTCAAAAGAGGGTTTCTCTATAGCCCTGGCTGTCCTGGAACTTGCTCTGTAGAACAGACTGGCCTCAAACTCAGAGATCCACCTACCTCTACCTCTGCCTCCCTAGTGCTGGGATTAGAGGCATGCGCCACCCCTGCCCAGTGAGGTTCTGAGTCCTTACTTTCCCCCTGTCTCACCACGTTCCTGTCACAGTTCCTTCCTGTTCCAGAGAAGAACCCTATGATAACCATTTTATCTGCATTTTGAGGCTAGTTTTCTCTTGGCTTCTTAAACAGCTCCATTGAGGTACAACTCGTGGGCTGTAGACCCATCCATTTAAAGTGTGCAGTGGGCAAATGCAAGGCTTTAGCATTTGTGGACTTGGGTGTCCATCAACAGCCATCAGAGATTTTACCACAGGCAAACCTGGTAGCAGTCTGTCCACACCCAGCATGTGCAGCCTCTGATTGGCTTCCATGGCCGGCTTCTTCACATCACACTACATTTTCAGGGTCCATCATTTTTGTATGCTGTTGACAACATAGGATAGTATTGATGGTTGGACACACTGCATTTTGTTTCTTCACTTACTGCTAGACATGTGAGTTGTTTTCACGTCTGCACTAGTATGTGTAGCCTTGTCATTAAATGGTTTTAGAATTCTTATATCAAAGCAGAACACCCAAAGAAAACGAGTAATACTGACCTCAGAGCTAACTGGGACATGTTCTTTCCTTTTCTGATATTTGAAAACTTTTTTTAAGAATTTGTGTTAAGGGCTGGGAGACAGCTCTAGTCAGTAGAGTACACTCCTTACAAGCATGAGGGCCTTTGAAATTTTTCATAGTGTTGGGAAATACCAAATGACATATAATAACTGTGCTTTACAAAAAAACCGAGTATGTAGAACGGTGAGCACCCTGCACTTTAAGGTCATAAGGCCCCAGGAAAGCAGCTGAGTGAGCCGTAGTGACATCTTAGGGAAGGGATCTGCCAGCAGACTCTAAAGGAAGGCTGTGCTGCACAGCATAAAGAGCATCCATCGGCAGTTAGCTAAGGTCAGAAACAGTACTAGAGGGCAGATTTTCAAAAGGTTCTTATGTGCGTATGTCTGTGTCTGTGTGTTTGCGCGTGCATGCTGCCTGCTGTCTGTCTGGGCACCGCATTCCTCCAGTGCCTGTGGAGTCCAGTAAGTGAGAGTCCCTTGGAGTTGCAGTGCTGAGAACCAAACCCGAGTCCTGAATAAGAGCTGCAAGTATTCCTAACTGTTGAGCCATCTTCTCTCTAGCTCCACTAAGATACTTTGGAGATTTGTTCATTTTGTGTCTGAGTATCTTTGCCTGCACACATGCATGCGCACTACTTATCTCCTTGGTGCCTGTGTAGATCAGAAGAGACAATGGGATGCCTGGATCTGGAATTATGCATGGTTGTGAGCCACCTTGTAGGTCATGTGAGTTGAACCCAAGTTACCTACAAGAGCAGCAAATATTCTTAACTGTTGAGCCATCTCTCCAGGAGTAGATTTTTTTTTAATTTTGTGTATGTGTGCACATATGAACATAAGTGTTGAAGCCAAAAGAAGTATTAAGTCTTCTGAAGCTGAAGTTATAGGCGGTTGTGAGCTACCTGGGGTAGATTTTAGGAATCAAACCGGGGCCCTTTGCAAGAGCAGCAAGTATGTGTAACCTCTGTGGAGGAGTTGGTTCTGATAGAAGGTGCTATGATCTCATTTATATATTTATTCATTTTTGAGACAGGTTTCACTGTGTAACAGTTCTGGCTGTCCTGGAACTTTGTAGTCTAGGCTGACCTCTTACTCATAGAGATTCACTTGCCTCTGTCTCGCTAATGCTGGGATTAAAAGTGTGCGCCACCACCGCCCGCCTGACCTCACTATTTTTAACAACAGCATTCGAACCACTGTGCACAGTGGACATGACGGGGTGGCAGCAGAACTAGTAGGATAGTTAGCATGCTGTATAGGTGGCATGGTGTGACTTGTTAGCAATAATGGTTCTGAACAAGATGGCTGAGATACAGGAAGGAAACAGAGCCATATGCTCGTGATCCGAGACTAGAGGTGGGAGCTGTTGCTGCCTGTGCCTGCTTATCTTCTCACTCAGTTTTCTTAGGCAGTCCTGGATAACATGTTTGGGGTAAGTTTCCTGTCTGATTTGGATGCTCACCAGAGTGGGAAGAAAGTGGCCTTCGCCATCCTTTCTGAGCTGTCTTCATTGTGTCTCATCCCATACCCTCTCCCTCTTCAGAGTTCAGTGTTGTGCTGTGAGTTGTTTATGTTTTCATTGCCTTAGCTGTCACTTCCTGCAGTATTCTTCTCTGGTGTGTGAAAACGAGCCTCGCTCTCTTATTATCTTACAGATTGGGCGTCTAGAAGAGAAGGCAAGAACTTACTTCCAAAAGATGGCTACAGAATTATATCATTGCAGCAAAAGGTGGCAAAAAAACGTACACAGTCCAGCCTTGAGAACAACAGGGCCAGAGGTAACAGAGAGATCACAGGCCAGCTGGAGATGCAACAGGACCCTCAGGAGGGACATTTGAAACAAGCTGTGGTGACCTCTGTCAAGAGGCCTAGTTCCTTCCAGTGCACAGCCCATAAAGAAGCTCACTCGGGAGAAAAACCCTATGAATGTAAGAAATGTAAGAAAACGTTCATGTGCCGGTCGTGTCTCATTGAACACGAGCAAATGCACAATAAGGAGAAAGGCACTAAGTGTGCACAGTGTGGGAAAGTCTTTAGCTGTAGGTCAGACTTGACTATGCACCAAAGACTTCATGAAAGCAAAAAAAGCAATGAAAATAAGAAAAGTGCCCTTAATTGTGGTTCTGACATTTCAAAACCTCAGAGTACTCACAGTAGTGAGAAACCTCATAAATGTAAGGAATGCGGGAAAGGTTTCCATTCTACCTCACAGCTCAGTCACCATCAAAAGTTGCATATAGGTGAGAAGCCCTACAAGTGTAAGGAGTGTGGGAAGGCGTTCCCATCTACCGCACAGCTCAGTCTTCACCAGAGAGTTCACACTGATGAGAAGTGCTTTGAGTGTAAGGAGTGTGGGAAAGCCTTCACCCGTCCCTCACATCTCCTTCGTCACCAGAGAATCCACACTGGTGAGAAGCCGCATATGTGTAAGGAATGCGGGAAGGCCTTCCGTTACGACACTCAGCTTAGTCTTCATCAGCTGACTCACGCCGGGGCGAGACGCTATGAGTGTAAGGAGTGTGACAAGGTGTATAGTTGTGCCTCACAGCTCACTTTACATCAGATGGTTCACACTGGGGAGAAACCCCACAAGTGTAAAGAGTGTGGGAAAGGCTTTATCTCTGATTCACATCTTCTTCGACATCAGAGTGTTCATACTGGTGAGAAGCCCTATAAATGTAAGGAATGCGGCAAGGGCTTTCGTCGTGGCACAGAGCTTGCCCGACATCAGAGAGCCCATGCTGGTGATAAACCCTATAAATGTAAGGAATGTGGAAAGTCCTTTACTTGTACCACAGAACTCCTTAGACATCAAAAAGTTCACACTGGTGAGAGACCCCACAAATGTAAGGAGTGTGGGAAGGCTTTCATTCGAAGATCAGAACTAACACATCATGAAAGAAGTCACAGTGGTGAAAAACCCTATGAGTGTAAGGAGTGCGGGAAGACCTTTGGCCGTGGCTCAGAACTTAGTCGACACCTGAAAATCCATACTGGGGAGAAGCCCTATAAGTGTAAGCAGTGTGGGAAAGCCTTCATTCGTGGCTCTCACCTTACCCAACATCAGAGAATTCATACAGGGCAGAGGAGTGAATGAGGAAACACTGCCACCAAAAAGTCCTACAGTTAGAGCCCCTACAGTGGCTAACAGATGTGGGACAGCAACATCGCAGGCTTTCTCATCCACACTAGAATTCATATACAGACCCAGTTAGGGCCAGAAATGACTGGACATTTGTCACCAGTAAGAAACCTTACAATTACAGAAATTGGAAGTGACTTAATTGTTCCAGAATTTATCATGAGCTTTAGCTAATGGAAAACTGGAAATTCCCATGAATATAAAGAAAGTAGGAATGCCCTGTCAGTGGCCCACAGCCGAATAGGCCTCAGGGAGTTCACACCAGAGAAACACTGAGGAGGCAGTAAATATGTCAGAGGAGTTAGTCGTTCGCCCTGAAGAGAAAATTCATAATCACTACAGATGTGATCTTTCGTACTTAAGGTCACACTTACATTCAAAGTGCAGCACATTCTTCCTTCATCCCACTCACATTTTATGAAATATTTGCAGGTTTATTCTATAAAATGAGCTTGAACTGAGGATGTGTGGAAAAGGACTTGACCATGTTTACCTTTTACTCAAGAGTTAGAGCAGGGTAAATTACTTACTGATTTTAAAATTCTTTTATAAATTAGCAATGTTAGCATCGTATATCTAGTTATACTGTGAGGATGTGTATAGCTTGCAGACTAGCATCTGACTAGTTTTTAAAGTGTACCAAATGCATCAGGGCATTGTGGTGCACGCCTGTAATCTAAGCACCTGGAAGCCAAAGGCAGGAAAATCACAAGTTTGAGGCTAGCTTGAAGGATATTTCAAGAAAAAAGTATACCAAAGATAGCTGCTTTCTTGTTATTATCAAACTTGTGAACTTTTATATAACAATCTTATACAAGGAAAGCCTTACATGCCCAGTGGTTGGAGGGACATTTTCGTTGTCTCCTAGACTGTTACAGAATACAGATTCCTTTTGAAGAAAAACTGAAAGCTGTCATTCATCGTTTGCCCTTCTGCTAGTCAGGATGCTCATAGTTTGAACGCAGACCCGTTATTTTGATGACACAAGAGTTGTGTGTGGGCTGAAGATGAAAGGTTTCTGAGCTAAGGCCGGTCGAACAAGCAAAGTGTAGGCTTTGCCTATCTGTTGGCATTACCATTTCCCTCTGCCATGTCGCCAACCACGTATAGTCTGGTCCTCCTCGCTGCACACTTGATCTCACATGTGCGAGAGGATCTGAGCAGAAGTGCACGGGGGCCTTAGTAAGAAGGCAGGGAAATGGTCTTCCCACCTGCAGGGAGCACATCTCTGCGCCACGCAGCACCTGATTTGTGTTGCAGTCCAAAGGGCCAGAAGCTGAGACTGTCCTAGGCAATGTGAGGTCATTGACGTTGTGGCTTCAGGAAACCATGACCTGCAGAATAAGAAATGGATACATTGAAAATCCAGCTCTTTACAGTGTACCTCATAGAAATTACCATTTAAAATATTTTTATATATACAGTTTCAGTAAAGTAGGATGTTTATATAAAATTTCAGCTTTTATAGTATCTGGCATAGAGAAGCAGTATTTTTAAAGTACTTTTAGCCATATTATCAAAATATATATTCAGCTTTGATTTAGTAAGATATAGGCTGTTTACTTACAGCATTTGATGATCTCTTTTTATATCCTGGAAAAGTATTGTTTTCCTGAATGAAGTGAGAGCCAAGGAGAACCTGCTTAAGGAACTACACTAATTCCTCTACACCTGAGTCATCTGGCAGCTAAAAATCTTCTACCTCTTCAGGACACAAGGCACTCACAGCTATGCAGGAGCAAACAGTTTTACCAAATTTGGAAAATGACAGCATCTAAAATGAAGTCAGCTATCTACAAATCCGTTTTACTTAAAGTAGAGGGTATTCTCACTAGACAGCAAGTCTTATCAAAAGCCCAGGGAAAAGGAACAAGGTGCTTTGTTCAGATGTTTATAGGTGCGCTGATAAGCAAAGAGAAACTTAGAGCAGGTGCTGTGAAGGGAAGTCACCTCCCTGCCTGCAGGCTTCCACTTGAGAACAGCCGCCCTCTAGTGAGTCCATCCGGCTCACGCTGCAGAGCAGCAGTGCAGGTGGTGAATGAAACTGCTAAGGGTGGGACAGACTACTGCAGACAGTGCAGGCAGTCAGGTAGGGAGTGCCTGCCATCCACTTTGGTTTTTTGATACAGGTCCTCATGAGCTGGGGCTAACTGGTGAACCCCAGGGACCCACTTGGTTCTGTAGCCTTAACACTGGAGTTAAAAGCAAATGCCACATCACCTGACTTTTTTTGTGGATTTTGGGGAGATGAACTCAGGTCCTCATGCTTGTACAGCAAGCACTTTACTGACTGAACATCTCTCCAGCCCATCAAGTATTTTTTAAAGGGAATTTTAATCTGCACTGGTATATTAACTTAATAAATCTAAAATTTTAACTATTCTAAAAATAGAACTTGCACACATTTTATAAGAATTAAATTAATAAAAGCAGGATTTTTAAAGGTGATATTAGTACTAATTTCAGTGTTAGAAGGATAGCTCTGTACTTTTCTGATCATGTGTACATACTTTTTTCAAGGCTTGAATGTCCTCTCCCAAATGTATGTATCATGATGCGCCTGAAAGCAAGAATATACTGTAGTGACTTTAGGGAAGCAACGTTGCATACACTGTTGTAGGTGCTAGTAGTCAGTGGATGCTGTGCTCCATGCACACTCCAGCTGGGGCACACCCATGCTTTTCTCATGTTGGTAACAGGTTCTGGGTGGGAAGGGTATTGAATGGAATTGTGCATGCACACAGAGGAGTGCAGCCACCTTTCCTCACGTGGTGATATACTATAAACCTCTTTCTAGTCAACACTTACAGATCTAACTAGCTTCATGTACTCACACAGCCTGTTCTTCACCACCGAGTGTTGAGGTCATTTTACCATCAGCAGTGAGTTCAGGACCCAGATATTGCCGTGTGTTGGAGTGTCTGCTTCTGTAAAGCAGGTGAACTCCTGCGATTTGAATCCTTGCCTTAACATAGTAGATTTAAAATGTACTCAGTGCCTTATTATTTTTGTGTGAAACTCGCCATTATCTCAACAGAAATGTGTGTGTTTCCCAACTGTGTAAACCAGGACTGAAAATGTGCCTTCCATTTGCACTTCTTAACTGCCAGCAAGGCTGAGCGTCTCCTGTGCCTATGAGACATTTGAGCTTTGTTTCTGTGACTTGCACATTGCTGTCAGCCTCCCTTTGTAAAACTGGAGTTGGGCCAGGCAGTGGTGGTGCACGCCTTTAATCCCAGCACTCTGGAGGCAGAGGCAGGTGGATCTTTGTGAGTCCAAGGCCAACCTGTTCTACAAGAGCTAGTTCCAGGAGAGGCTCCAAAGCTACAGAGAAACCCTGTCTCGAAAAAACAAACAAACAAAAACTGGAGTTGGGTTTGTTGTTTTGGTTTGTTTTTGGGTTTGGTTTTATTTTTGTTTTTTTGTTTTTTGTTTTTTTTTTTGTAGAAACATGGCTAGATCATATTGCCACATTAGCAGTTTATTGTCTTAGTCTAGCGTATGTCATTTGCCCTTGTTTATATTAAAATAATAGTTACCAAATGTTGTTTTATGAAGGGCCAGACAGTATTTCAGGCTTTGGGAGCCTGTTTACATACACCCTTTGCATCCCGTTTGAGCCAGCAGTTCTCAGCCACTTTTGCCATACCTTCAGTAGACATCTATCTGCCAATGTCCACAGACATTTTGTTTGTCACTTTAAAGATGATTGCTGCTTGTGTCTCGTGGGCAGAGGCCAGAGATCTTCTCAGTGTCTTGTGATGCACAGCACAGCCCCAAGCAAAATGATGTCGCTCTCCAAAGATGTCAGTTACCTTTCTGGCCAAACTGAATATACTGTGTCAATCAAACCTTCACTTAAGCGGCAGCTGGTGGATTGTGCCTGTAGGTGTAGTTTTCTCGCCCTTATTTTAATAGCTTTTGTCTGTATGCTGTTTTACTGCTTTTGTTTCTGAATTATCTTCTATGCCAAGTAGTTTTCTGTATTTTGTGGTCTTAAATCTTCTTTCCTAAAAATTGAGAGGCTCAGTAGCATGTGTAACAATGGCCCACTATATTTTAAACATGGATTCTTGTTTGCTTAATTTTGGTTGAAATTATATAAAATAAATCATTTCAGAAAAATATGATGACGTCTCGCTTTTCCTTCATGGAGCTCTCTTTCCTGGGCCTGCAGAGGAAATAACCTAGTACACTGGGTCTGTAATAGCAAACTCAAATGTACACACTTCTGAGTAACATCCTGCTGTAACGTGGACAGTGTGTGGGATTGTCAAGGGCAGACCTAATTCTTGCTGTATTTGCTTTTTTCCCATTTTTATGTATTATAGTCACTGAGAAAACAACAGAAGCAGATAACATCTATATATTTTAAGCACTGAGGGATTTAATAAAGATTTTTCATTTAAAGAGCATTTAGCAAAACTCAGGAGCCATGCTTAACTTAGGAAGAAAGTATAAAGGTATAGGCCCGATGTACTGTGGCGTATGTCGGGAAGTGCTGCATTAACTCTTCCATTGGTGAATGAATCTGCACACTGATCACCTCAAGAGGAAAATGTCTGGGCCCCAGTATGTGCCAGCTGAAGAATCTAGGTTGCATCTGCCAAAAGCAGCAGAGTCCCAGTAAAAAGTGACAATTTGTGACTAAAGGCATACAGGGAGTTGCAGAAATTGCAGTGGAAGTTGCAGGTCCAGAGAGGAAGCCTGAGTAGTCCAGAGGATGGTGCCTAGGCCCAGGGAATTGCACAGTCTCAGCACTAGCTACAGACCAGGCAGGAGGGACACTAGGGCTAGTCTCTAGCCCTAAACATCAGCCCCACAAAGGAAAACAGGCCCTCAGCCCATTGACTAAGTCCTCTCCTGAATATTGTACACTCGGCTGGGGGGGGGGGAAACCTTGAATTTCTAGAAAAAAATGAAAAGCAAAACATAAACTCCAAATGTGCAAGTTCCTTGGCAGACACAAAAGAAAATATACATGTCTTCCCAAAAAATTACTAAAACCATACTGATGGCTCCTAATGAAAATGATTTGGAAGAACTTCCAGGAAAAAAAGAGAGAGAGACAAAACAAAACTGAATATAGTTATATATATATCAGGGACCTCTGAGATCCAGCCTCATTGTCCCCTCAGAGTCCAGAGGAAGACTCACAGCAAGAATGGGACTTAGAGCTGAGGGCGAAATGAACTCTCCACAATGTAATTTTCTGCATCAGCATTTTTTTCTCCTGCTGTTCTCTTATTCTGTAAAATCTCCAGTTTATATACACACAAAACAAAGGCAATTCTCTGAGCTTGGACATCCCTTTATCCTTGAAGGTCCCAAATGCGATCTATACGAAAGGCTCCTTTCCTGACAGCATGTCCTGCCAAATGGAAGATAGTGGCAAGAAGGTGGCTTCTAATGTGCCTCAGGGAATGAAGCAGAGATTAGACTGTGGGGACCAAGGTTATTGACTGTGACTAAATTTCCCACAGGAGGTCCCACGAAGTGGTTAGGATAGCCCAATATACTAGTACATGGGAAAGAATTGTGCCCAATAATCCATACTCTGCTGAATCTTGCCCCAAGGGTGAATGCTTATGGTTTCACAAGAGATCTACTGAAAGAGTCAGATGATATGCAAAAGGTGGTAGGGCCAGCGCTTTATGAACTGGGTTTCTCTCCATCACAACGCATTCATTCTGGGGGGGGGGTCAACCTTGTGCTCTACCAGCTGAAATCTCACTGTATGATTCCTGCAAACCACAGCAGTTATAATTATTCTTTTAAACAACTCAAAGACATGAATGTACTACAAGAGGAAAAAGAGAAAATAAAGTCTATCCGAGATAGAATAGAATTCAATAAAGGGATAGAATTAAGAAAAACCAAACTGAAATTATTCTAAAAGTGAAAGACTCAGTCAAATTAAAGGTCCAGTGGAAACCCTTAGCAATACAGTGGGTCACATGGGAAATAGTAGCAGGAATAGAAGAAAAGGTAGAGGAATGGGGTCACTCAGTAAAGGTCAGTTATTTTTTAAAAGTGAAAAGGGGCTGGAGAGAGGGCTTTGATGATTAAAAGTGCAGGCTACTCTTCCAGAGGACTTGGGTTCAATTATTAGAACCTCATTGTGGCTCAAGATACTTCTGGTTTCAGGGAGCCAATGTCATGTTCTGGCCTCTGTGGACACCAGGCACACAAATGGTACACATACATACATGTAAGCAAAACAGCCATACCCATAGAATAAAAAATCCATTTTTTTTTCAAAAAAAAAAAGAACATAGAGTTATTGTACACCATGAAAACACCAAATCTT